TACTTACATGTATATAAATAGTAAAATATTTGTAAAAAAATATTTTTAAAATTTAATAAATACACAAAAATATAAAAAATGTTCTGAATTTTTTTTTTTTGTATTTTTGGTATTTAGTGAATTTTTTAAAGATTTTTTTCACAAATATTATATTTTTTAAGTGTATTTATGTTATGTGTGTCTGCGAATTTTTTTATAAAAAAAATTTACTAAAAATATTAAAAAAAATTCAGTGAAAGCAAAAAAATACGGAAAACGAAAATGTAAAATTTTTAAAAAAAATAAATTTTGAAAATTGAAACCAAACAGAGTGAGTAGAATCTCCCCTCGCCCAAAACACCCTATTAGTGTTGGTTCAACATTCAATATTCCAGATGGCCTGTTTGGAAGCTTTATTATTTTAATTGATTTTTTAGCTGTTTGAATATTTTAACTTGGTTAAAAAAATTATGTTTGGAATGATAGTTAACTTTGTTTATTTGTTTGTTTTTGTTTTTGTTTTTGTTTTTTTTTTGTAATTGGTTTAATAATTGTGAGAGAAAAAGTAAAATTATTATAATTTAAATATGACATTTTATCTTATTAACTATTTAACCAAAAAAATCAAATGCCAAACAAGTCTAATAAGATAATAATTATGTACATGTGACGCAGACACGAAATGTGCAATTCTACTACAAAAATTGTTAGGTCACATCCATTGGGGGCGAGCAGCAAATATACCGATCCGCCCAAACCGATCATACCGAACCGATTAGCCGCATTTTGGATGGATGCGTGACGATGGGCGGACGGTTGCGGATTGATTTTTTTCCAATCCGCTTAGTTTTGGACGGATGTCAGATTTGAGGTTCCTTTAGCCGCAACCGAATCGCCAAACCGCGAGCATCCCTAGTAATTTATAAGATTTTGTGTTTTCAATTTGTTTAGATATTCTATTTATATTTTCAATTGAAAAAAAGTTTAAATATTATGTTGAATATATTCTGTTGAAAAAGAGTTTTCAACTTTAATATATTTTTTGAATTGAAAAAAATTAAATGTATTATTTATATATATATTTTTTGTTTTTAAATCTAACTCTAAAACTAATGGTTTTTGTTTTGAAAAACCGATATAGATGTAACAATACAAAGACATACAATCTCTACTACTGCTTTGTTCATGGTTTTGATGATTTGAATTGTTGTTATATTTTTAGAACCATAAATTGTAATACTTTATGTGGATAAGGCATTCTGTGATTGTAATATGTGGATGAGGTATGTAGTAATTGTAATATTCTAAAATTTTAAACTTTCTTTCTTTGGATGAGGCATCCAATGATTGTAATACTTTTTTAAGTCATTGATTGTATTATTTTTTTTTAAGAAGTGTACAAGTTGAATTATGTTGAAGATTTATAAAATTTTACACCGCCAAACTGATTCGCATTTATACGCCAATCCACCAATCCGCCAATCCGCTCAATCCACATTCGTCGGATTGGCAGACGGATGCGGATTGATTTTCTCCAATCCACCAATCTAGCGGGCGGATTGCGGATTGGAGATTCCATAGCCGCAACCGATCCGCACTCACCCCTAACATCCATCGTACCCTAAAATTTAAGGATAAATTATCGATAGGTTTTATTTTTAGAATTTATTATCTATTAAATTTTATTGATAAATTTATTAACTGATCAATTAATCAATTTTTTTAGAATTTATTATCTATTAAATTTTATTGATAAATTTATTAACTGATCAATTAATCAATTTTTCTTGGTGTTATAAATAAATTAGCAATGATATATTTATCAGTTAGGACATATAAGTAAATAAGTCTAATTAATATGACCGATTGATAAGTGTTCCTAAATTTAAAAAGTTCATATATGAAAAAAAAAAATAGGCCTTAAAAATAAATTTTTATATGTCAATTTTTTATTTATCACAAATTCAATTATATAATTATGTTATTAGAAGTGAATTTTAAATTTCAAATTATAAGCCTTTATCACTCCATTTGTGCCAGCCCACCTTCTAACTGCGGCCAGCCCCAACCACCTACCTAGCTCTTCCTCCTCTAAAGTCCAACCCTTCTGTGCACAAAAAATGAGATTGAAGTGGAAGATGAGTAGAAAAGATGAAGGCTCTGTTTGGTTGTGATTTGTAATTAATTTTCTACATGTGTGTTTGAGTATAATGTTTGGCTATGGTTTTGAAATCAATTTTTCACACTCTCTGCAGAGAATTCTGATGCACAGACCGCGTTTTTTGTCAAAATTTTGCCTGATGAAGTCCACCCGAATGTCCCCTGAATTCCAGATTTTTTTTTTTTTTTTTTTGGCAATTGATTTACATACTCGGGAAAAATATTTTCTGAATTTTTTAAAATTTTTTATGTGTTTTAAAATAATTTTGAGTTGTATGTTTAGTTACGAGTTGTAAATTTTTGTATTACATATCAAATGTCACATCAATAATTCCCCACTCAAATCAAATCTCTTTTCCAAAACTATTTTCAAAACTCTTTACCAAACAAATTTTCTACACTCAAATTATAATTCTACAACACACAAACTCAAAATAAAACTCAGAGTCTCAAATCACATTTACAAAACACAACCAAACGCAGGCGAAAATTTTCATTTAATCAAATTTAAAGAAAATATTTATAAATTAATGAAATACTTTGTTATATTAAAAGTCAAACACAAATTTTTTTCATGAAATTGATATTTGTTTGTGGAAGTTGTCACTGATTTATTATTTTCCCAAGATAAAAGGCCATGAAGGAGTGGGGTTAAGGTTAGTTTGAAGGGCCGAAGGAGAGATAGGAGTAATGGGGATGGGTTGGAAAGGGCTACTAGCGCTGAGGTTGTGGGGCAGAGTGTTGGCCCGGTAGAGTGATAGTTGGAGTGGGAGGGTTTGGGTTAGACTTTTGAGAGGTTAGGAATAAAGATAAAATTGAATTTTATTGTTAAGATAAAATTGTAATAAAAAAAAAAGGAGAATTTCTTTTAAAGTTCTTAATATTAAGATTTTATAATATGAAAGACAAATAATATTTTCGTAATAGTTAAGGTCCCTCAACATTTTCATAAAGAAAATTCTACTCAGAGAAATTTTTCCCGACTTAGAGAAATTTTAATTTTCACAGAAATTTCTATGTAAAAATTGAAATTTCTTTGAGTTGAGGTCGAAATTTCTTTGAGTCGAGCAAAATTTCTTTGAGTTAAATTTTCTTTATGAAAATATTAAGGGACATTAACTAATAATAATAAAAAAATCTTAGACCTCTCCTACTACACAAAGTTGGAAAAAGATGTTTCACTTATTTTTCTCTAAAAAACTAGAAGAAAGTAGAGATCCAAAGAAAAAATGTGACACTATTAGCAACGCTCTATATTAAATAACACAATTTTTTCATAGAATAACCGAGCTGTTTTTGTACAATTTTTTTTGTATTTGTTTCAATGTTTGCTTTGTTTTGTTTTGTTTTTTTTTTTCTTTTTGGCATTTTCTTAGTTTGGTAAAACAGAAGATGTTTTTTTTTTTTTGTATATAACAAAAAATAAATTTAATTGAAAAAATAATATTTTCTATTTTAAAAAAAGAAAAATTATTTTACAGATTAAAATTTTAACGGCATCATCATTCTATCATCTGCATCACCACCTAATACAATTAAAGTCATAACAAAGCATAAAAAATATAGGGAAAATTACACATAGTGGTGGTTTCAAAAAATTATTATAAATTTATGAAAAAAAAATTATAATTATAATTATTAATATTTGTAAACTTTACCTGGATTTGTAATTAACTTTCAAAATATATCCTGAATTGTTATTTCTCAATATATATATATGCAAGAAAACAAACAGAGTGGAAGACAAGATTGGTTTGTATTCCATTTTTTATTTTTAATATTAAATTGGTGGTTGATAGGCAATCATTAGTCAAGTTAACCAACACCCGTGATATTGAAGATGTCGCCACCGGCCAATGGGAAATAGATGCCAATACAAAAGAGATCCACACAAATGGAATCCATGAACTTGATTCTTTAAATTAATCGGTCTAATAAATCAAATATCAAACTAAAAAATAAAAATGCTCACGGGATTTCAAAAACAGCAGAGCAGATTCTGACAAGGAAACGTAATAAGTATATGAGTCCCCACCATCACCAAACCTACATTCCACTCCACACCATTATCAGACATGGATTCGAAGCTATCCAATCTCTCTCCAACAGAGACATTTTAAAACATTTTTTTTATCAGTTTGGGTAGAGAGAAATTATGTCTGCTAACCTTGACCATCTGATCTTAGACCCAGATTGTGTATTTCATTAAAAACTCTAAATTTAATCCTTTGATGGGATTTGGGTATCAGCCTAATTTGTACATAATGACTATTCTTAAGTTTAAATCCATAATTTCAAGATCAATAAGTGAAACAAGTGAGTGTGTGTGTGTAAATTTCATTCACATCTGAGCTAGTGCGCCACTGATATAGTGCGAAAAGCATCACCTATATGGATATCCAATAGGGAGAGAGAAAGAGAATATCCAATATACATAAGAAAGGAATGGTGGAATGCTTTTTTGTAAAGTGTACTGATATATTCAATGAACCATATCTTCATCTTATAGATTTGTCAAGTAAATTAATTGTTGTGTACAATTTATAGGATTATTATTATTATTTTTTTAATAAAGAAATTATCAAAGTGTTTTGTGTTAATTTTATTTACAACATAGGAGGTAAGAATAACTTAAATAAATTTAAAACATCTAATTATTGAATTGTTAAAAGATTAATGTTTTTAGATTCTACTTTTTGATGAGTGGATTAAATGATGATATATGATGTTTGGTGTAAATCAAATTAATAACAACTATTAGGTAAGTGAGATAAGCTTTTTCAGCTTTTTGACTTTGATTTCCAACTATAGATTCATGGGCCTAACTACCACATGGGGTACTGTATTTCTTTCGGTTTCTTAGTCTTTGTTTATTCAACTAGATATGATGGTTTCTCTCAACTTCCCACCCAACATAAAATAAAACAAAATAAAATCTTATAGAAGTGAAAATATCTTATAACACAAATCTTTAATCTTTTCCTCAGAACACCTGCATGTGTTGGGTTCAAGGAAAATATTTGGAATGTCTCACAAACACTATACTTAGGTTCTTGACACACAGTAATTTTCTCCTCTCTATTCATCTACTCCTTTTCTTTACTTTTCTTTTCTTTTTTAAATTCACCTGCATATGTTTGCGTTTAGGGAAAATCTTTGGAATTTCTCACAAGCACTACTTGGGTAGTACTTAACACAGTAATTTTCTTTCTTTTCATTTACGATTCTTGGCAGCCAAACAACAGCAAAAAGAAGGGGGGGAAAGCAAAGTCCTGTTTGTAGTGTGCACACAAGTCCTGCATCTATATATATACACAGGTAAGATTGGCATCTGCAACAAGCCAAGACCAGTTGGGTTACCAATCATGAAGCTATCAACAAGTCCCAGAAAACCTCCAGTAAACTCTCTCTCTCTCTCTCTCTCTCTCTCTCTCTCTTCCAATTACTACTCTCTCCCATGTTTTACAAGCATTTAATTTTCTACATGGGTTTTCTCAATCTTAATTACTTTGTTTCTTTCCACAAGCCTTTCCTGCTCCACTCAAGACCTCCCCATTTGTTCTTTCCTTCAAAACATTGCATTCATAATCACAATTAATTTTCTCTCCAAAAAAAATCCACATAAATAACTCAGACTCCTCTAAACTTTCCAAAGAACACAACAAAGACTTAAATCTTCAATTCCTAGACATTAATGGCATGTTTGATTGGAAGGATTAAAGCATAGGATTGGGATTATTAATCCGTGGGCCCAATCATCCTATGTTTGTTTTGACATTTTAGTTTAGGATTATTAATCCAATGGATAATTAATCCAACAAATTTGTAGGATTATTAGTAATGGGGTAGGGGTGGGATAACTAATACCACACTAATTTAATAGGATTATTAATACCTCACTATTAGTGTTGTGAATCAAACATGGCCTAACGGTATTGTTTGGTACACTAAGCTAAAAGTTGATAATTAGGGAGCAAAAACCAAAAGCACCCTTCCCCAACTTGGCCTAACGGTATTGTTTGGTACACTAGGCTAAAAGTTGATAATTAGAGAGTAAAACCCAAAAGCACCCTTCCCCAACTTTTAAATAATCAGCTTTTCTCAACTTATTTAAGCTATTTCTACCTAAAAAGCTGTAATACCAAATAGTCTGACACATATTTCCAAATTAAAATAAGCTATAATCACCCCCTATAATTCACACCAAACACCCCCAACAATGTTGACTTTTGTTTTATATGGGTTCTAATGTCCTAGCAGCCCAACCAATCCCATTGCCAAAAGTCCAAATCTTGCTTGAAAAAAACTCTTTAAAATTTCTGAGTATTAGTCTTTTTTTGCATGAATTTGGAAAGTAAAAATAAAACGTGAGTGAAATATAAATGAAATATCAGTTAATTTTTTTTTTCTTTAACGTTACAGATATTTGATGCGGTTTCAGTACTTCTGGTTGTTTTCCTATTGAATTGGAGCAATGTTGATGCCCGAAAAGTTCGTGTTTTGGACTACTTTGAGTACTCTGCTATGAGCTGCAGAGCTCACAGCGCAAGCGTAACAGATTTTGGAGGAGTTGGTGATGGAAGCACCTTGAATACAGAGGCATTCAAGGCAGCAATAGCTCATCTGAGCCAGTTTGAATCGGATGGTGGATCGCAACTCTTTGTACCTCCTGGAAGATGGTTGACTGGCAGCTTCAATCTTACCAGCCATTTCACACTATATCTCCACCGGGATGCTGTTCTTCTTGCTTCTCAGGTTTGCTTCCCATTTTTCAGTCTGTTTAAATTCATTTTTTTTATTTGTTTTCTAGTTTGGTTTTTTTTCCAGAATTCAACACCTAAAATTAAATGTTTTAGGTGAAACAAATAAATGAGTGGGAAAAAATAAATTTCAATTTTTAATTTTTTTTACATATCAAACAATTTGAGGGCAGAATGTGACCAAGGAAAGAGTTTCTCCTTCGTATAGCTGTCTTTATCCATTTTGCACCATACATTTATTACGCGTCATTATCAATTATTTTTTTTGTTCTTGTTTTCTTGCAGTCATCAAATCAAACACTATTAGAACAGTTAGGTATTTGAGATTTGCTTTTGTAGTGATTTTTTTTGTTGATTTATTTTCATTTTTAATGAATTTTTTTTAATTTCAAAAAGCTTTTGGTTTCTAGATAAATCGAAAAATTAATTTTTTTTTTTAAAAAAAAATCAAAAAAAAGAGAGGAAAAAAAAAAAAACCAAACATAGTGGACCTTTACAGGTTATAATTATTTTTTTTCTTCAAATTTTTCAATTTTTTTTTTCACTTTTTAGATTTGTCTATACACAAGACGGCCAACAAAAAAAAAAAAAAAATTGACATAATTTTGAAAACAGGTTATTAAAAGACCAAAAAAATATGACTTATTTAGAAGTTTCCAACTAGCTAATATTTAGTAGTATTTAGATTTGACTTTACACCTGAATGCAATTATCATTAAATTCAACACTTATGTTTTAATAAATACTACACAATGTTTTAATTAAAAAAAATTCAATATTAGGTATTTATTACTTTATTTTCAATTTTCATTTAATCAAAACATCACCCTAGTTTCTAACTGGCTATTGAATTGAAGACAAACAATTGAGAAAGAAAAGTAAATGTAATTGCCAAGAAAATGTAGATTATTAGAAACTTAATATAATTTCTAATTTTTGTCACAAAATGTGACACAACAATAAATTGGGTCACTAAAGAGTTTCCTAAACAGAGGTCATCATGACTAATTTGAAACAGAACACGAGCACAAAGTGCAAATATGATGAAAAGTGGCCATGAAAATTATGGAGATTGGAGGGAGGAAAGTGAGAAATTTCACATTTTGTAATCACGTGTGCTAAAATTACTCCAACCCTCTTCTTTTGGTCTAGGATGTGAATGAATGGCCTGTAATTGATCCCCTGCCCTCCTATGGCCGGGGAAGGGATTCACCCGGTGGAAGGTACATCAGTCTCATCTTCGGAACCAACCTCACCGATGTTGTCATAACAGGTACAAATCACAAACATTTTTTGGATATGATACAAGAAGCAAGTTTTAGCACTTTCTGTTTTGATTTTGAGGTCGGTTTATGATTTCAGGCGATAATGGAACCATCGACGGTCAAGGTGCTCTCTGGTGGGATAAATTTCACAATGGAGAGTTGCAATTCACCCGGCCTTACCTTATCGAGCTCATGTACTCGGATAGCATCCAAATTTCCAACATTACATTGGTTAATTCTCCATCATGGAATGTTCATCCTGTTTATAGCAGGTCCTCATCCTACCTAACTCCCATAATTCTTAGTTGCACTTCTTGATTTAATCCGAATCCTTTTAATGAATATCTGATCTTATAATATGATAAAATCCAAATCTGTTTAATTCGATTATTTTATTTATATATATATTTTTATTAAGGTTTAATTCGATTATTGTCAGAATTAGGATAATCCTATCCAATTTTCGAACTTTAATTTTTATCTTTTAAGCTCGTGTAAAAAGATTGGGAATTAATTACCCAGAAAAAAAAAAAAGAATGTGAAACTTCATCATTATAAACTATTACACATCCGTTCTAAACAAAACAAAAAAAAGAAAAAAACTATTATACATGATTGTTTCATGAGATAATCTTCAAAATCTTGTCATATTCTTTATCTAATTCTAATTAAACATAGTACACTAATCACATGATATATAAATCACACCCAATAATCTTATAGCAAAATCACATCCAAATCACGTCATGTCAGATTCAGATTTGGATTCGAGTAGGATAAGATACGGATAATGCAAGATCTGGTCTGTTGACACGGCTAACCTCAACTAATGGAAACAATTTTGTATTTGCAGCAATATTATAGTTCAAGGCATTACAATTCTTGCACCAGTCAGATCTCCAAACACTGACGGGATCAATCCAGGTAAGTTCATTGAATTTTAAAAAAATAGCAATAATAATTAATTTTCAGTAGGTACGCAATTAATTTTATACAAAAAAAATATAAATATTACAGTGACATCGAATCCACCACCTGAGGGTTGTGTCTAAAGATTGATTGATGGGTTGTGTGAAGCTAATGTGCTAATTGTTTGCTTTTCTGGTATGTGATGTTCTTCAGACTCTTGCACAAATACCCGAATTGAGGACTGTTACATTGTCTCCGGAGATGATTGTGTAGCAGTTAAGAGTGGTTGGGACGAGTATGGAATTGCTTTTGGGATGCCAACAAAACAGCTCATGATCAGACGGCTCACTTGCATTTCTCCAACTAGTGCAGTTATTGCATTGGGCAGCGAAATGTCAGGTGGGATCGAGGATGTTAGGGCCGAAGACATTGTGGCCATCAATTCAGAATCAGGGGTTCGGATCAAAACTGCAGTCGGGAGAGGCGGGTATGTAAAGGACATATACGTGCAAGGGATGACGCTGACAACCATGAAATGGGTATTCTGGATGACCGGAAATTATGGCTCCCACGCTGACAATGGATATGATCCCAATGCACTTCCTGTCATCCAAAATATCAATTACCGCGACGTCATTGCCGAGAATGTGACAATGGCGGCTAGGTTGGAGGGAATATCCGGCGATCCATTCACCGGAATCTGCATATCAAATGTGACCATTGCACTAGCTAAGGACTCAAAGAAACTTCAATGGAATTGCACCGACGTTGCTGGGGTTTCAAGCAATGTGATTCCTCCACCATGTGATCTCTTGCCAGACCAAGGCACCGAGAAGACAGCACAGTGTAACTTTCCAATAGACAACCTATCGATTGACAGTGTTGAAGTTCAGATGTGTTCATACAGAGGAAACTATTTGTGAGCCACAGTTGTGTCCTGTTTGCTTCATAGCAATAATATCATTAATAGATTTTTCAGTAATCACGTCATTCTAATATATGTAAAATATGTTAATATCCAAACAATACAATAAAATAGCTCCTTGGATTCCAATTAACAAACACTACAACATCTAGAATATCTATTTCAAGCTCCTAAACCCCCCGTCAATCATGGAGATGATCTGCAGCCGCTTTTTACTCGCTTTATCGTCAGCTTGGAGGTTTATTGAACAGGCTCAACCGGTATAAATTTCACTGCAAGAGGGGATATTGAGACCGAGAATGCCTCTGACTGTTTCGCTTTGTTTCCTAGCAGAGGAGTCGAGAGTTCAAGTTTCCGAAGGTCGGCAAACAACACTCGTACTGTTTCCAACATACTTCTACAGCACAAGCAAGCGGTTATCATGAGAGCTTCCTAATGGGTAGGATCGGGATTGAACTTCAGTGATTCCATCCAAATGAGATCCTTAATTTTCTCTTCGTTGAACGCGGGTTGCTCAAAATCAAAACTAAAAGGACTCGGGCAAATGGGTTCGTCATTGATATCATGAAGAGACGACAAGTATGGGTGACATAGAGCCTCATCAACTGTAAGCAGGTCAAGAAAGTAAAGAAACAAAAGGTTAACATGAATTCACATATTAAGTAATCTTTGATGATGTTGTGCATAAAAATTTAGTCTTTGTACCTGTAATGCGTTTGGTGGGATCAAAGACGAGCATTTTTTCAAGCAAATCAATGGCCAAAGGAGACATATTTGGGAATCTAGCTGAGAATTGTTGCTTTGGGTATCGGGGAAGCTGTTTCACATATCTTCGTGCATTATCACTTCGGAGAAATCCAAGGCAGGTGTCATTGGGTGAACCTAGGAGCTTTTAGAAACAAGGACAAAGTAGGTTAGAACAGATCTATAATTTCAGTTTCACAAAGAACTCTTTTTACTCCACGTCAAAAGAAATGACAGGGCACTCTCTCTCTTTCTCTCTCTTCCAGATTTCTCCATTTCAGCAGGTGAGATGGAGTAAAGATGATATCACCAACCTATCAATACAGAAAACATTGCTTCTAGGATGACGAGAGAAAAAAAACTGAGTCGGCAGTTTTGGTATTGTTTTTGTTTTCCTTTTCATTAAACAAAAAACATAGAAATTTTGTTTGGTGAACTGTTTTCAAGAATTATTTTTGAAAACAACCCAATTTTTTGAGAGAGACTAATAAGTTGTTTCAAATTTTCAAAAACTATTTTCCACCCGAATATGAAGACAGTGGATGTTTTCATTATTCATTATTTTTGTTTCCAAAAACACACAACAATAGCAAACAGACAAGATTTTAGGAATTTATCATCATTGTTCTTCTCTACTTGCCATTTACCTACTAAGGTAACTGAAGTAAAGAGGCAGGTTGACCCCACTTTTATTCTGTTTTCTGCTTTGGTTTCTCTACTCTCTAACCAAATGCTATAGTACAACAGAAGTTTCTTTATCAAAAAGAATTTTGGTTAGCTAGGCTTTTATTTGGAAATCAAGAATCAACAGTTGTAGCTAGTCTTACAAGTCAAAATGGAATCAGAGCACCGACTAATATGGAAAACTGTAAATTAAGTTAGGCATCTTAGCACAGAATTTGGCTGATAATACCACCAAATGGTATTAAGCACAGGGCAAAATTGAAGAGAGATTGACAGAGACATCAATGCCTATGTATTCTAAATTTATATAATATACATAGTAAATAAAAATATATAAAAAATGTATTTTTATGCCGTGTCCCCACTGTGTACTAATTTTTTGACCATTGTTGTGTCTTGTGTTTGTGTTCATATCCATGTTCATGCTTCTTACGTTGACCCCATTCCATTTACCGTGGAACACCAAAAGCATCATCAAATCAAAAATCAACATGGAAGTCTCATACCTCTGTTATAAGCCTCAGCTGCTCAGCATAATCTCTGCCAGGGAACAAAGGTTCTCTAGTTGCAATTTCACCAAGTATACAACCAACAGACCAAACATCAATAGCTGCAGTGTACTCTGAACAGTTAAGAAGCAACTCGGGTGCCCGATACCAACGAGTGACAACATACTCAGTCATGAAATCCGTCTCCGATGTTGTTCTTGCCAATCCAAAGTCTGCAATCTTAAGGTCACAATTTGCATTTAGAAACAAATTGCTCGGCTTGAGGTCACGGTGCAAAACATTTGCCGAGTGTACATACTTCAGTCCACGTAACAGCTGGTACATAAAATACTGGAAAAGTTTCACAAAATATCAGCCGCAATTACAATTTCAGGTCCATGTATGGTTAATAACAACATGACATGTATATATTCTGTAGCAAAACTCAAAACTACCAATCAAAAATAGACCATAAAAAATATATATATATGTATATATTTTTTGTGAATGTAGGAATCATAATCACCCTTATGAACAAGGTTTCGAAAAGCGGTTACAGTCAGAGTACTTTTTGTTCACTCTGCTAGAAATATGTCAGACATGTACACAAAATCGAAAGAAAGCAACAAAAAAAATGTTTTCATGATTCAGCAGAATATTTATAGGAAAGGAAAAACAAATATGTCAAGACTTGGTCTCTTAAGATCCAGCAACACCTTGATAAACAAATGAACAATGAGGATTCAAACCAAAGAATTATGCCGCAAAGGCATATCAAGGTTTTGAAAAGCGGTCGCGGTCATCGTAACAGTTGTGGTGATGCGATTAATGAATTATGATGCGAAGGCATATCAAGGTTTCGAAAAGCGGTTGCAGTAACCGTAATAGTTGTGGTGGTGCGGTTGTGGAGTATAAAGGCAGTAGTGTAATGGTTTCGGTAACCGGAACTGTGAATTTTTTTATTTTTCGCACAATTTGAAATAACTTACAAATATGCATATATATATATTTTTTTTCCAAAATCACATTTTTTAGGGTTTAAAATAGAATTTAATTAATTTTTGTTACTTTTTAAGTATAGTCCAATATATTTCATATTTTTAAATCACTATAAAAAGAGTTTTTATCATTTCATTTCAATAGTTAATGACTTTAAAAATAATTAATTTTAAATGTCTACAATATTATTTTTGACCAATACCTGAACTAACTAAATACAAAATATTTACAATTCTTAAATGAAATAATTATAAAAATAAAAATTGTGTCATAAACGAAAATTATTTTAGAGCTATTTATTTTTTTTTAAAGATAATTTTTAGACAACACTTTATAGCTAACTAAATACAATTATTTACAATTAACTATTAAATGAAATGATTATAAAAATAAAAATTGTGTCATAAACAAAAATTATTTTTGAGTTATTGATTTTATTTATTTTTTTAAAAGATATTTTTTAGACAACACATTACGGTAACAAAATAAAAAATATTTACAATTAAATATTAAATGAAATGATTATAAAAATAAATACAACCACTATTTATATATTTTTTATTTTACATGCTAGTGTAATGAAATAAAAATTTTAAAAAAAAATTACAAAGAAAAATAAATCATACAAGGTTTTTTCTTTTGAGTTTAAATCACTTGAGTACTCGTTTTTTGTTTTTGTAAATTTTTATATATTTTTGTTAAAAGGAAGCTGCTCAGAATATTGTAAAAGTTGTAATGGACTGTTACAACCGTTACGGTACTGCTACGGCCATTAGGTAACACTGAAACGGCGGTTACACATGCGAATTTTCATCACACCGCAAAAGCGGGTGTAACGGGTAACACCTACCACCACAACCGTTATGCAACACAACTTTTTAAAACCTTGAGGCATATAAACCAACACAACTCAGTCACTGCGGCACTCACCTGACAATGATCATCTGTCAATGGTTGATTAGAACGAATTATCTGATGAAGATCGGTGTCCATCAATTCAGAAACTATGTACACGTCATTAAACACCTGCTTCTTTGGCGGTCGTATGATGTCCTTAATGGCAAGAATCTGTGGCAGGAAAATAACTGAGGATCAATTTGTACCCAAGAAGCAGTGATTATCAGAGATACTGTCAAGGACTAACAAAGGGAGGGGAAAAAAATGAAAGCAAAACATCTCAAAAGTAGATAGCAAAGAATGTAACTTTTAAAAATTGACAAATACAGGGATCTAAGTACCAGAATCATACTGTCATGTGCATGATAAGATCAATGTATTAACTTTCCGAGATACTTCACTTTTAACAGCTTTAAGTGAGAGATCCCGATGCAACGCAACTACAACAATATAGTCAAGATCAAGAAAGCCCAAGCAACCAACGAAGACAAAAGGGAAGTTTCAACTGTAGGCCCACCAAGAATATTCCAGGGTCCCAACAGCAAAACCAACCCATATTATAATTCAAATAGCAAGTGCATCAGTATAACCATAGAGCTGCTAAAAGTTCAATATTAACAGTTATCCAGGAGCAAAATATTTGGGTAGTCATGCCCAAAATTATCAGCAGGTTACATTAACGTACAAAAACTCTTCAGAAACTACTTGGAAATTTGTATTTTTACAAATTCGTTTTGAGAGATTTCTAACAAATATTTAAAAAAAAAAAAAAAATTCAATCATCCTAAAAATGTTTTAAAATATACTAAAAGTTGATTAGAGAAATTTCAATAAGGAACATAGAAATTAGGTTCATTTTGTTCTAGTTGTTTTCTTGTTGCTTAACAAATATATCCCTTTCTTATTTCTAGTTTTTCATTTGTAGTAAATGCGAGAAAGATATTCAAAGTTATTCTAAATAAATTCCTTAATGATGTAAACTCTAAATCTTGAGTGCTCGAATTTAATTCTGCTTTAGAAACCTGATAATTTCTTATTTGTTTTTGTTAAAACCTACCATCACCTACTCCACCTACGCCACCTACGCCACCTACTCCACCTACCACCACCTACTACACACCTACCACTACCACCTACTACCACCTACTCCACTACATCTCCTATATAAGGAGCCCCTCACCATTTGTAATATATAACATATCAATCAATCAATAATACATCAATCATAATACATACATAATTGTTTCTCTCTCTCTTTTCCTATACATTAATTCTAACAGTTTTCTATGTGCTTTCTATAATAATACCAGAGGTTCCTATTAACTTGTTTCTTCTTTTTACTTAGTTCCAGCTAAGCATCCATCATACTATATAAATCAAACATATCCATTGAAGTATTCATTTAAGTTTCTCATAAGTTTTTTAATGGTGTCCTTTTGTTTGCCAAAAGTTTCTTACTAGATTCTATTAGATTGCCGATTCAATTCTTGATCGGTACTCGCTTCCCATTTCCCAATTGGCCACATTTTCCACTTCCGTTTCCCCCTAACATTTTCCGCTTCTGTTTCCTATTCAGGTAACCATATTCCATAACTTTTCATTCTCCTCTCAAGATTACTTTTGTAATATATTTGTAAGATCTCTTTTCTTTGCCACACAAATATGTCCAAAGGCACACATACAAACTTGATTATTGATGTACTTTAAAAATGATCACTGCAGAACACCACTATAGTACTATTAAACAACACTAGCAGTAACTTATCTATTCCGCCACAACATTTTTTCTTGCTGTTAAGGTACATATGAGTAGAATTTAAAAGTCTCCACAAAAAAGAAGGATCAGATAAAACAATTTGCATTCCAAGCCATGTGTAATTGTTGATAATAAAAAATAAAAAATAAAAAACAGATTGTATGTTCCCAGCCATGGGTGCTTTAAAATATACCAAAACTTTTTAGGCCCCTTAATTATGTCAATATTCTCCTAGGATGCTAAAGAAAGAGTACAAAATCCCACATTCCTTGCAAGCATCAAATGTTAAAAGAAGTCAGGAATCGTGGAAAAATACTAGAGAACAAAGTAAATTAGCATGTGGAGAGCCGTGGAGGACCAAACTTACGTTTTCATGATCCATGTGGCAAAGAAGCTTAATTTCTCTTAGTGTCCTCTTGGCATCAATTTGGTTGTCAAATGCATTCCCAATCTTCTTAATGGCAATCTCCTCATGCGTCTCTGAATTCACAGCAGCACTGAAATTGGAAAAAGAAAAGAAAAATGGTGTCATTTTCAGGACTTGATGACAAAAACAGTTAACATTTTCTCCAAGTTTCCTAGAAACATTAATCTAAAAACCTTCCTCAAACATATCTACCCTTGTGTATTTTGGTTATATTGATTGCTTTAACTAAAGTGGATAATTTTCACTATTAAGGCATTCATCAACTTTGGCGCCTTTCATGGTAATCTTTAATTTTCTTAACCCAACAACAACAAAAAAAGCTTACAAATATGCACTTATACCCCATAAATTTATTTCTGAATGAAAAAACAAAATCTGCAAGATAACCCTAAATTTAGCAATCTCGTCAACACTAATGATAAAAATCACCCAAATAAGGGCATCCACATGCAATTAAAGTTCTTAACTAGCAACCAGAGGGTCACATTTTCCCATTTCCTTCATTTTTTGGAGTTTTGTTTTTTTTTTTTTTTGGCCCACCAAAAAAATAATACAGAACCAGTCAAATATTCAAAATCTCCCAAAACCCAATTCAGTTTCAAGCAAAACCCATCAATAAAAATATGAAAAATTTGAACTTTAACCCTCAAAACCACATAATACCAACACATGAAAGAGAAAAAAGCAGAAATTGAAGAGGATAACCAATCCAAGCACATACATATGTGCAAACATATCATCTACATATATACAATGAACATTTAACTCATCAGACAATGCACTTAAAAGCTCTTAACTAGTTACTAGACGATCTCACTCTCCCATTTCCATCATTTTTCAGAGTTTTTTGTTTTTTTTTTTTCGCCACCAAAAAAATAGTACAGAACCAGACAAATATTCAAAATCTCTCAGAACCCAATACAGTTTCAAGCAAAACCCATCAACACAAATATGAAAAATCTGAACTTGGACCCTCAAAACCACATAATACCGAGAAAAAAACAGAAATTGAAGAAAAAAAACCAATCCAAAGACATACATATATGCAAACATATCATGTCATATATATACAATGAACATTGTAACTCACCAGACAAAAAGATCTCACTCTCCCATTTCCTTCATTTTTCAGAGTCTTTTTTTTTTTTTTTTTGGCCCACCAAAAAAATAGTACAGAACCAGTCAAATATTCGCAATCTCCCAAAACCCAATTTAGTTTCAAGCAAAACCCATCAATACAAACATGAAAATCTGAACTTGGACCCTAAAAAAAGCATAAAACCGACACATGAAAGAGAAAAAACCAGAAACTGAAGAGGAAAAAAAAAAAAAAAAAACAGAAACTGAAGAGGAAAACCAATCCAAACACATACATATATGCAAACATATCATGTTATATATATACAATGAACATTGTAACTCACGAGACAAAAAGATCTCACTCTCCCATTTCCTTCATTTTTCAGAGTTTTTATTTTATTTTATTTATTTGCCCACCAAAAAAATAGTACAGAACCAATCAAATATTCAAAATCTCCCAAAACCCAATTCAGTTTCAAGCAAAACCCACCAACACAAATATGAAAAATCTGAACTTGGACCCTCAAAAACACATAATATCCACACACGAAAGAGAAAAAAAAAAAAAAAAAACAGAAACTGAAGAGGAAAACCAATCCAAACACATACATATATGCAAACATATCATGTTATATATATACAATGAACATTGTAACTCACGAGACAAAAAGATCTCACACATACTTGTGAGAAACCTCGAACAAGTTACCGTAAACATTGTAGCGAACGTATTGACCGCCATGAGTGAGCACGCCTTTCACAGTACTAGTATTAGAATCGGTGGAGGAAGTAGAAATCGACTCCATAGCCATAGAGAGAGAGAGAGAGAGAGAGAGGGAGGCAGGACCGCCGTGAACTTGGCGGGGGGGGGAGGCAGGACCGCCGTGAACTTGGCGGAGCTCCGCTGTGTGCGGCGGAGATTGGAGAGGTTTGCGGTGGATTTACTCGTCGGAGGTTCGGAATTTATGTGGGTTCTCTCCGTGTGTGTGAAGGCTTTTTCGACTGCACGTGGTTTGAAAATCAGTGAAGGATAGTGGACTTTTGCTTTTTGGGTGAATTACACTTATATCCCCAAAGTGTAGATTTAATACACATCATCTTTAGACGTTTAAAAAATTACATTAATTTTTTTTATTATAATTATTTAAAAAGAATAAAGATATTGAATTCATACACACTTTTTATTCTTTCTTTATTTTATTTTTTCTATTTTTTTTCTTTCTTTTGCTTTATTTTTTTTAATGTATTTTTTTCTATTAAAAATTATTGTCTTTTGTATACACTGCCGCTTTAGGTTCTGATCGATGAAAGGTTCAAACAGTTCATAATTTAAAAGAACAACTGATCTGAAATGGAAAATACGTCTCTACAAATTCTCATAAATCATTTAGGAACTGATTTCAACTTCTCCGAAATCATTTATACATAACAGATAAAGATTGATTTACTGACTATTCTTGAAGAACAAAAAAGTTGAAACAGTTCAGGATGAAGAATGAAATCATTTATCGACTCGTCTGAAATAATAACAAATAAAAATAAAAATAATATATAAATTTATTTTTTAGATTAAAAAATGTTAGAAGTTTCAAAAATTTTATCATTTTACCAAATGTCTCACATGGGTGTGGGATTTATATGGGACCCACATTGTGTGAGTCCACATGAGACATTTAGTAAAACTTTTGATAAAATATTTGATATCTCTAACATTACTCTTTTAGATTAATTTGCTCTCCGATAATATACTTTTAACTTCAATCATTAAACTTGACTCGATCATAATGTTATGAATCTACGTTTTTACCGGGCAAAACTCTGGGTTGTTTTGAGAAGATGGTAAAAAGTGACTTTTTGGCTTTTAACCAAACTTTTGGCTTTTTTAGACAAATGATTTGAGAAGTTGGTAAAAAGTGATTTTTGACTTTTTTGATTAATATTTGTTTATGATGTCAAATCATAATAAAATGACCAAACTACCCCTATTTATTTAAAATATTTACATATGTAACATATTTTGACCCATGAGGGCTAAAATTGTAATTTCACCGTTGACTAAAAACCAACTTCCCAAATGAAAAAAAAGCTAAAAAAGTTAATTTTGACTTTTACTACTAACCAAAAAAAGTGACTAAAAACTATGTTGTCAAAATAAGCCTCTATCTAAATCTAAAAAATTCGCCAAAGAGCCTTGATTAAGACATCTTGAAACAGAATTGGGATGCTGTTACGTGGGTTATGCAGCAGCAAATGGTGTGCAGCGAAATGGTCTTATTTTGGGATTTATTTTGATAGTTTGAATTGTTCATATTTTAGAATATATCAAGTAAAATATATATGTAAAAATTAAATTAATCGGATATCGTTTACTTATTCATCCACTCACATTTATATCTACAAAAATAAAAAATAATTGTGATTTAAAGTATTAAAATGAATATAAATGTGAGTAGATGAATGAGTAAACGATATTCAATTAATTTGATTTTTTACAGACAGATTCTACTTGATATATTCTAAAATATGAACAATTTAAATTATTAAAATAGATCTCAAAATAAACTCATTCCGCTGCGTAAAGCATCCCCAATTCCATCTTTTATCTAGATTGAGCCTTCTTAGTTTTCCTTCCAAATTTGATATGTAAATCTGGTATATGAAACTCTAGGTGATAAGACAAGAATGGTTGTAGTGCACTCAATGAGATATAAGATGCGTTAATAAGATGATCGGTAATTAAAGAATAAATTTAAAATAAAATTATTTAGGTATTTTAATATAATGTCACATCATTGATTATAGAAAAATGCGTTTAATTTTTAAGCTTGAATAATAATATTCAAATAAAAATAATTTCTTGATTTAGATGAATTTTGGAAATTTTCTTTTCTATTATGCAATTTATTTAGATGATTTTTTTTTTAAAGTTATAATAGTTATAAAAAAATTCTAAAGTTTTGACGTTTATAATAAAATAAATGTTGAATTTTTAATTTGTTATTAAATCATAATATTTTGATTTGTTTTCAATATAAATTATTAGCTTATTTTTGTTAAAAAATAATATTTTGCCTCTGTTTGGCAAGTTGGATCTTGGGCTTTTTTGGCTATTTTAGCTATAAAAGACAAAATAGGCTATTTTAGCCATAACAAACAAAACATCACATCCAACCCATAATCATTACATTCTTCTCTCACAAAAAAACTCAAAAAAGCCAAAAAGCCAAAAAGCCCTTCCCAAACCAAGCTTTTAAGCCCAGGCTAAAATAGCCAAAAAAGCCAAAAAGCCAAAAAGCCAACCCACTTCCAAAAGGAAGGCTTAATTCATTAAATTCAATACAAAGTGTACACAAAATATTTAAAATATTATTTTTTCTTCGAGTTTTATAACTAAAAATATAATTTTTGGTCGATTTTATTTAATAAAAATAAATAATAATTTAAATTAAAAATAAAATAAAAATGAAAAAATAAAAAAATAAAAAAATTGAAGGTTTATTTTATTATAAGGATGAAACCTTAGATTTAAAAAAAAAAAAATTTCTCCATAAAATTTTATTTTTATCATTATTATTATATTAATTATTTTTGCACTCGATAGATGTCAACGTGCTGTATAAGAAATTTAATAGACTCAACATATATGGTTTGTTCCTTAATTAAATTTAACAATTCTTTTTTTTTTTTTTTTTTTTTTTTGGCGAGGGGGGGGGCTTGGACCATGTTCAAATTTTGTTTCAATGACTTATGTTTCAGACTAATAACCTATAATGTCACAATTGGGACTTCCTTTATAAATTAAATAAAAAGTGAGCCACAGAAGTTCATAATTTCAATTTCTCCTAATGTGAATGTTATATAGATACTATGCTCACCACCTAAGATAAAATATATTGAACTCTGTGCTCACTGTTTATATTAATTATAGAGAAGGTTCTTCACATTTGAGATCACACTAAAGTTAAATGTAACTGCTACATATCCATGATAAGTTCGACATGTGTAAACAATGGCATAACGTAAAAGATGACATGGCCAAT